CCCATTTTTGGTGGAGTATGCCTTTAACATATTTAACCTTCCATCCCTTTCTATGTTTCAGCTGACAAAACAGAACACATGATGGGGGTCTCTGAGCTGATGGTCTCTACCTGCGTGCAGGGCATCATCTTTTGTCTGTTTGCAGCTCAACCAGTACTTATCATTGGGTTTACCGGTCCATTGATGGTGTTTGAGGAGGCATTCTTTCAGGTGATACTAATTGTTAGTGATAATTGTGATTTAATTAGGTAGATTATCACCACCTATATGACTTTTCTCATCTATCTAAATACATTAATCTTTCCCATTCAGTTCTGCAAGTCAAATGGCTTTGAGTACATCGTGGGCCGTGTCTGGGTGGGCATGTGGTTGATCGTCATTGTGGTGGTGATTGTGGCAGCGGAGGGGAGCTTCCTTGTCCGTTTCATCTCACGCTTCACCCAAGAGATCTTCTCCATCTTGATCTCTCTCATTTTCATCTATGAGACCTTTGCCAAGCTTATCAGGGTATATTCATTTTTCTAAATGGACACACACTAAATTAGATTAATTCACATCATATAAATTGTCATGAAATCTTCATTTTTTGCTCTATGCTTTGTTCTCTTTCTTTATTCTCCTCAGATTTTCAAAGAGCATCCTTTGGTTTTGAACTATCAACACTTGAATGCTTCTTTGGAAGACCCTTTTCACCCTATCAAAAAGCTTATTAACATCACAGAGAATCCTGATGGCAATATTACTGAACATCATGAGATAATAGAGAGGGCCTATCCCAACACTGCCCTGCTGTCCATGTGCCTTATGTTTGGCTGTTTCTTCATTGCATTGTATCTCCGTGGGTTTAAAACTAGCACCTTCCTTCCCGGCCCTGTAAGTTTGCTCAGTTTACCTTTTTTATTTAAAACTCTGATACTGTTTAGCCAAAAATAGGTTTAAAAGTTCAAATACATTATACAAATAATGGAAAACAAAAAGGCTTTTTAGCAATTATACCATCCAGCCAAGCCTTTAAATGTAAATCATGTTACTATTAAAATACTGTACATCACCAGATCCGTCGAATGATTGGAGATTTTGGTGTCCCCATCGCCATCTTCTTCATGATTGCTGTGGATATCAGCATCAGCGATGCCTACACACAGGTTTGACAAACACTAATCTTTTAAGGTAGTTTGCTATTATAGGTTTTCTCAATTGCTTTGGCCCTAACATTCTCTAAATTGTAAATGCAACTGTCACAACTGTTTTATTAGATTTTGCATGTCTGCAAAAGGTAGTAACTTAAAATATTTAATTCATGCTTCAAAAAGCAATGGCTCCAATTTATTATTTTTTTTCATTGTGTCATTGTGTGAGCTGTACTGGTCAAAATATGTTGATGTTTTTACCATGGCGGTCAACATTGGAAATGTTTGTTATATACAAATTTGATTTTTGTTCTAATTTTTTGTTGACACAGTAGGTAAATGTTTACTGGGAAAATCCAATACTGTAGTACACAGAAAAAGAATATGCACATTTGTATGTATACAGCACATTTTTTTATATTGCATCTAAATAGAGGGTACGTATTTGCATGTCCATTTGTACACATTTCTTATCTCTGAAGTCAAGTACGGCAGTAAAAAAAAAA